ACGACAAACCGCTATTAAAAATCTTGGGGCGCACTTCAGGTGTAACTCTTATATAGCGAAAACGCTATGTTAAACGCTGTATGAAATAGTCGACTTTATGACTTCTAGGAAAATGTCTGTAACTTTTCGATGCAAGGTCATACAGAGTTGTGCGAAGTCTTATTTTGATTAGAAACGTTTACTCTACAAAGCTGTGTTTTCAGAAAAATTTTAATTGCATAAGTGTCCAGGAAAAAGCCATTATTTGAAGACCCATTTTTTCGAGGCTCTTAAAAAACTTGCTCAAAATCCCGGAAAAACCACTTTTGTAACCAAAAGCAATACAGATTCTGGAGGTAGACACTTCAGGCTATCTTTTCATGTGCGTATCTCAAAACCGATTTTTTGATTGAAAATCACCATTTCTGAGGGGGGCCCTTAAACGAGAATAGTTCATAAGATTCTGTTACTTCTTGCACTATACTATGAAATAGAGAATGAAAATCGAGTATCTAAAGATACCGGTTGCCATTCATTAATCCGAGTTAGACTTGATAAAAAATTGTCTTAGCATATCAACTGTACTAGTTGCTAATGATATTGAGTCCAATGAATGAACGCAAGAATATTCTTTAAAGTCATATTTACAAGAACAAAACAATGAAGTTAAAAGAGAAAAATTGGTAGATGGACTAAAATTTGCACTACCTGTTTATCAAAATCATAATGATAATAACCACCATTCGAACTATCTCATCCAATGATGAACCGTTAGCTGGCCACGCGGCACAGACACTTAGGATCAGACGTGGAAAAGATCGTCCAAAGAAAGTTAAATTAGCTTTAAAACAAAAGACTGAATATTAGTAAAAAAACGATTTATAATCTGACATTTATTTTCTTCTCGAATCATTTTTTTCTTATTAGGTATACTTTACTACTGACAAAATCATTAATTAATTTTCATAGATTATTTACCAAGTTCATTTCTCTCTTTTAGCGTCAAATATAAAATTAACCGAGCTCGTTTGTACATTTTCAAAGTATAAATTAATTTCCGAGCTCAAAACTCTCATTTATATAAGCAAAATATAATTTTATTACAATCAAGTTCATTTCTCTCATTTTAAAGTCAATTAAGTACACCGAATTCAAATATCTCTTTTAAATTCGAGCTCATTTATTATTTTATCCATAGAAAACAACAGTAGATATCAACAAAAACATTTTTCTATTTTCTATAAATAAAAACATTCTTATCAGACTGAAGAAGCACATCACCGCTCAGTCTATAAAGAAGGCAAAATAGATATCCCAATCTTATATTTAATATTTAATCGCAGCAGTACACAGAACAAAGCTTATCAAGTTTCTTCTAAGCAGCGAGCATGGCCCTCAACAATTAGTCATAGAACATGTTAAATTTGATGGTGATTATGAACAATATTCGAACACAATACTTTCAGTAACAACGAGTGAAAAACTGATAAAAGAAAGGTGAGGACAAATTATAGTGATCATATTCGCTCAAATATTAAAATTGTGTTGTAATAACTTTCACACGAGAAATATTAGTAATCGTTGATTCCGTATCCGATTGAAATGCATCATTTATTTCTTCAGTTTTTGTACTCTTTTTTCCAAACCATTTCTTAAAATTAATTCTTTTGAATATCATTTCGTCGTACCAACCGAGAGAACGAATAGGACGTGGTACCCACGACCATGTTTTTAACTTGTCTGGTAAACGCTCAGGCATTTTCTTCATTAATGTATTCATAATTAGAGCAAATATGATCATTAGAACAATAGGTATCAAAACAGCAGCCAACACATACCTAGAGCAAAAAATAAATCATCAATATTATCGAAATATTGCATATGCTACCGATATGTACCATCCAATCATGGATAATCCAAATATAATTAACGGAAGAATAAAAAATGTTAAAAGTATGTAAATTACTGCAAACCATCGGTAGACTGCTGTTGTTTCTCCAAGTTTTTTAGCTAATCTAATTGGAACCATACGAAGAACTGGTATAGGATACCATAGAACAATACCTAAAAGTGCAGAATAATTTATTATTATTTACACTAATAACTTAATTAAATAAATACTGTCTACCTAATATATTGAAGAATGTATGACAAAGTGCAATTTGCAATGAATTTTGAAGTTCTATAGGCGAATGAGCCGTTAATGCTGCCATGATTCCCGTTATTGTTGTCCCTATATTTGAACCAAGAGTAAATGGATAGACACGTTCGACGGTGATAATTCCCAGACCAACAAGGGGTGTTAACGTTGATGTAAATATGGAACTACTTTGTACAAAGATTGTAAGTATACAACCGATCTACTAGAATAATATTATGTAGATATAATAATTATTTTACTACCATACTCACCAGCATGGCTAGATAACCCGTTAGATGGCGTAACGGTCCTGGTAATTCAGCATTCATCGTTTTTCGAATAATATTGGCAATAGCACCTTGTAACATAGATTGTAATACTTTGACTAATAGTACAAGACAGACACATAATGATAAAATCGATAATATTAATAAAATCAGACCAATACTCCAATCTGGTAATTTTGACTTAGCAAATATAAAATTACCTTTGAAATAAATAATTATCATGAATATAATGCAAATTCTCTGTAGAAAAAAACTCACAATGTTTCAAAGCAACATTTGTAATATTCTTTTCTTGAATAGAACTTAATGTTTGATTGATTTGACAATAACGTTTGATTAATGATGTTGACGGATCAGCTGTACCGATGGCTATATCTTGAATAACATGTTTATCTATCTAAGAAAATTAAAAACACTTAACTATGTATTGTTAACATGTTTAATTTTATACTTGAATAATTCGTTCAGTTATAGGTTTTGTAATGACACTCAGAAATTCTTGATTAGAACCAGCATTTTGATGCTTTCCAATTGATTGTGTTAATACACGAGTAAGATGATAGAGTAAACCTTTAAGTTTTTGCAACGAGGATTAAAAGTATTAGTATTCATTTTATATAATAACAATTACCTGTAAAAACCTCTAGCGGAAGAAGTATCAGTACAGTTGCCCAATTGAACATATCATGGACGGTTGCTCCAGCGAACGCTCGTCGAAATTCGTCTCGCTTTTTCTACAAGTAAGAAAAATTCATATCATAATCTCGTTTGACGAAGCTTATATTGAATTACCGAATGTGTTAAAGCAACTAAAGTATTTGTCACGGATGTACCTGAAAGACGTAGTTACGCCTAAGAGCATAATTGCAGTAGAAATTCTACTACGTACCGATGTTTGCACCTTTAAAAGAGTTAAAAATACGTGAATTTACTTAAATGACTGGTTAAATGACGAGCATTAAGAAACTTGTATACATACCCATGATGATTGGTATGGCTCTTCTAACTGGTAGTACTAGAAAAATTAACGATCAATTATTAGTGTTATTTCTTTTATAATACACGACACATTATCTCCTACTAGAAGAGGAGACCATGCTAACTACAATTGATGATGATGTTGATGAACTTTGAACAATTACTGTTGCCAGAACACCTAGCATTAAGCCGGCGATCGGATTCTTCAGTACGCTACTGTCACTGAATGCTTGACCAGCAACTCGTCCTGCAATGTAAAATTAAATTTAATAAAGTTTGAATTTCTTTTCTCTAACAGACATACCGCCAACTAGACGAAATGCTGAGCTCATTACATCCAATGAGCAAACAAAAACATATAACAGAAGTAACAAACACACAAATTTAATTATCATAGAAATAGTAAATTTTAGTTTTTCATTAGGACTCATATCTATAAAAAATTGAAAATGTTAAACACAACAAAAAAGTGTGATTTTCTCATTAATTGTGCTTAATGAAAAAATCACACTTGTACAAAAACATTCAGTAAAACGCACCTCGCCACTTCACACCGGTTACTTGTTCATCTTTAACTGTCCATAAGTCTTCATCAGTTTTGACAATTATTGTGGTTGTTGTCGAACCTTTTCGTCTAATATTTGGATAATCCGGTACTGCTGATGTACCACCATTACTAATGCTACTACGGCCTGCCGTTACTAACGATAAGGATCTATTTATTGGTTTTGTTGCCACCGTCATACTATCGAGAGCGAGTCTGTTACTAGTAGAGAACAAAGAAAAGAAAGACTAATTCCATAATGAATCCGATGAGTGATGTAAGTAGGTTTAATGTTAATCGATCATATGGACGTAATCGATAAAACAGCATATAGTGCAAGAAGTAACAGAATCTTATGAACTATTCTCGTTTAAACTACTTGTTTAACTCGTTTCAGACGTTTCTATTGATGTATAATTCAGCCACATGAAACTTTTTATGAATGCATTGATCAGATCAATGTTTACTTAGTTGCATTACCTGTTGTTTTCTCAAGCAAAAAATCATTTATAATCATCAGTTTTATACAAAAACACAAATTTCACATCGTCTCTTTTTAAAAGTTCACTAAAACGGCTTTATCTGATTGAACTTTCGTTAGTATAATATATATTATTAAACATTAGAAGGTAGAAGACAAGTTGACCTTAAATAAATAACAGAAGAGAAGAGAAGGTGGCCCTTGAAATCATATGTACTCAGTTGGCGGTCAAATGCAGAATATATTTCATGCTCAACCGACTAATATACTATTACATGTCGAACCGTGTTAATATTAAATAATTTCTGAAAATTAATTAATGATTTTGTCAATAGCAAATTATACCTAGTACCGAGATGGCAAAAAATAAATCGAGAGTTTTGCTTTTGATATATCTTTTTACTGTTAATGCTAGAGAGCCAGTTCAAACGCCATTCGAAAGAGCAGATTGTACATCACTATATATAAAAATAATTAATAAAGAAGACTGCGCGAGTTTTATTGAAAAGAACTATTTTTTATCGTCTTAAAAACCACTATCATACACTTATATTTGGATATTTGGAGTATTTGATCTCCTTTTATACAAAAAAACAAACTAAAAGGCAAAAATGAAGTGAAATTGCTTTGTTTTTTAAATTTATAGAAATAACAATGGAGCATTTTAACTTAACTTAAAAGAGCTTCAAAGGTATTTTCTATGCCATACAAGAATTCTACGACGTATACGATGCAAAAGAAGCGGTCATGAAACTACTAAAACAGGATAAATGTCATTTTTTTCATCTTTGTAATAAATGTGATGATTTTAAATTTTCTGCTTACGTGGAATCAGCCATTTTGAACTTCGAAAATACTCTTTCACAATGGCCTTTGGCTTCTATCTCCTATCAAACGACTGAAGACCTGGACAGTGCCTTTACTATTAGCTGTTGAATACAATATAAAAATTTAATCAATAACTAATAGACTTTTTTTAGACATTTCACCTGATTTAAAGATAGTTCTTATCGTTATCGTCTTGCACACACATATCCACAGGACGAAATAAAACACTGCACATTCTGTTTTCACATGGACTACCATGAAATAACGCATCTTGCTAGGCTCTTATTAACCCTAGTCCAACACAATATCCAAGTCTAAACTTGGGTATCCCAAATCCAAACCCAACTCTTTGTTTGGATTTGGGTTTATAACATACCTAGTAGTATTTCTGCCAAACATAAGACGTTTTCTTATTTTTATATGGCTAGATAGAGCCTTCATTTCTCTATCGACTCGTATATTTTCTATTTGATTTATTATACGATGCAAAAGAAATCGAAAAAATGTTGAGCATTATTTGTGCATGCTCCTGATGTGCTGGCGATATGATTGCTTTTCCGTTAGAAAAGAGCAAAGTCTGAACTTCAAAGAACATAGAAAAGAAAATTTTTTGTAATTGAGTTTGAATGATAAGAAATCTAAATACGAAACGCTGCCCAAAAAGCTCTTGCAACATCCACTCTCTTGAAATGTAGCGCTCTCATTAAAAGTATTTTTTCACTATAGCAGAGTAAGTTTCAAATTATGTAATTATAGAAACTAGAAATGTTTTTATTGCTCTTTTGAATCGAATGTGATAAATTATCTTTCGATCTACTTTTTAATTAGAAATTCGTGAGTTTATCATTTGCTTCAGAAAAAGAGTTTATTACACTTAATTAATAATTTTCATATATTAAATGAATTTTGTCCTTTTGATAAAACACATTTTCTGAAACAGCATTCAATTCCCTGCAAGGTCACATTAGTTTTAATTTTTAATGACACGTCTTGAGTCCTAAATAATAAATTTTTGTCGAATGGTGCACAGTGGGCAATCACGTGGACATTAGGTGGAAAAATGAAAGTGAGATTTTTTGAGATATGAATAATGCCCAATATACTTTAGCTAATGACGAATTTTTTGATCCAAAAATTTTTTCTAACTCTCTAACTTACTTGAAAAACCTAGGACCTGAAAAAGGTCGGATTTTAGCTATCTTTTAGAAAAATACATTTTTTCATAGAAGGTAGAAAGAGTGAAGGAATAAATCATACATATTCTGAAAGTAGAGCTCGTGGTCTACCTGTTTATAAAAAAATTTGTCCTCTAACTCCTTTCCT